TAAATAATTTTTTTTTATTACAACAAAATAAATAGTATTTTTTTACAATTAATTATAGTATGTACTCATGATGACTTTTGGATTTTTATTCAAAAACCAGTAAAGTTATTTTTATAAATGTAAATGGTATTCCATAATACCTCCTCTCTATATAAAATAACTTTCAAACAACGACCATCTCCAAACTATTGCCAATTTTTTTGTTTCTACTAGTGGCTGTCGTACAGAACTTTGACTATAGTTTTATTACAGTACAATCTCGATAATTCGGCCGTTTGCTCTTAGACACGTCCAGTAATCCGATACTGTCTCTCGGGTATTACCGACACTGTTGGCAAATAGCAGACAAGCTTCCCACTAGTTCAAACTTCAGTTCCCACTAAATTTGAACACCTTCCTACTAAGTGTGTAAGTGTGGCATTTAACCTTTAGTTTGGGCACGACATTAAAGATTGTTTGGCTCGTCATCTTAAGTTGTTCAAATTGATTGCTCCCCTTTCATATTTTCTTGCTATTGTCTGTATGTTTTTGATTATTACATTGTACTAATAACAGCCAAACAAACGAATATTTTCTTTCCGAATGACTTAAACTAGCGATTGCAATATTTTCTGGAATGTGGCACAAAATTGAATTCAAAACGTAGTAACTTTAAATCGCGGGTCAAATATTTAATTTGAGTAATTAAAAAAATAACAGAAAACGCTTACAAATTTTACTTTAAGTAACTTTTAAATCTATATCAAAAGATAACAATAAACTCTGTATAAGAAGAAAAAATAATGTGATTTTAAAGGAGACAAATATTTCCTCTAATGGGAAATCTGCTGTCGTTTATTTGATGATAATTTATCTATTGAGATTCATAATTAGTGGTCTTTAAAACTTTTCACGGCAGCTATAGGATTCTGCTTTCCCACTATTTATACTTGTATGTGGGCTTGCTATAGGAATTTGCAAAATCTTATGGCGATATTAAAATCAATTTGAATATTGATAATTAAATAATTAATAGCAATTGATAATTAAAGACACAGTAAATATAACAGTTTACAGATAAAATAAAGTATAGTTGACGAGCTCTGTCTTAATAAACATGTCGCCCATCCTTGCGTCTTTTTTTTTCTTGTATCGGCAAGTTGGGCATGAGCTTCATGACTATCTCGCCCCCTGGTAAAGTGTGACGTAATTGTCATGGAACAGCAATTGTGTGCGTTTCTTATGATGGTCGTTGCGCGGGAGATAATGCCTTCCGGGAAGTCTTTTAAATGTAACTGGTTCCTATTCAGTCGTTACAGATGTGGAGAAAACTTAGAAAACTTTACGTAGTCAGCCCATCCGGGCGAGGCGCGAACCAACGACTGAACTTCCAGTGTTCAGAGAACGGAATCGCTGGCTACTGGTGGATCTTGAGTCTTCTTTCCTTTTTTTCCTTAGCGCGACCCCTCCAGGTCCTTTTTTTCTAGACTCCACAAATCCTATATATATATGCAATGTTTTAAAATCTATCAAATATTTTGTTTTATAATTTATAAGGACACAACGCGGATATCCTGAAATTGTTGCGCGGGTTACTAAGTTGCCATCACTGGATTAAACCATTCACTTCCAATATTGCAGCAATCTCCATAATCCGAAATAGTTCCGGTCCCATATGCGTCGGAATACTGACATTGTACTGTACTTGATCAAATGCTAAATTTTAAACTATACAAATTACTTATTAGAATTATTAAATTAATTAGATTAATGCAAATTATTTATCGATTTTTGATGAACTTTTCATTCTTACGACAAAAGTGTAGATCAATTTGTAAATGGAATATAAGTTAAGTAGCTTAAATTATGCAGAATACATCATGAACGAAAAAGGCTTCATGTTACAATTTGAAATGATTAAATGTTAATAAAAATTTGATTTCATTCTTGTTATCTTGTTGACATCGTCTGAACGATTTGTCCTTACAATGTGAAAACTAATCAATTATTTAACAACATTAATCAACATATTAGTTAATATCGTCTTTCTTAATATAAAACAATAAAAAGTTATTGAAAATGATTTTTCCCTAATGCTTATTATTTGTACAAAATCGTTCACAATTTCTTTGCTAAGTTTCAAATGCAATAAAGAATTATCCTGTACTATTTTTAAATAATTTGGATAAATTCCAAACATTCTGAAAGTTACTTGTCCTCTCTTGATTTTAATTAACTGGCAAATTCTATTGATCTGGTTTTCGACTCTATTTAAATATTTGAATTCCTTTAAGTTACGTTATGAGGAAATTAAAGATTATCTCGTAAAGATTCTGAAATTACATTTGTGGATATTGATTTTTGAATAACAATCTTAACATTAATTCTTTAAACATTTCTGTAGAATTTCTGTTTACCATGCTACATGCTTCAATCCTTCTTAATCTTGATTATCGACAATAAAGTAAATGTCTCTAATTATCTTTCTACCGATCAAAGCAATTCAATATGTACTTAAATAAACAAATGTATGCTAATAGTTTAAACTAATAAAATGCTCATAAAGTTATGTCTATGAATTTATAAATGTAAATGGTATTCCATAATACCTCCTCTCTATATAAAATAACTTTCAAACAACGACCATCTCCAAACTATTGCCAATTTTTTTGTTTCTACTAGTGGCTGTCGTACAGAACTTTGACTATAGTTTTATTACAGTACAATCTCGATAATTCGGCCGTTTGCTCTTAGACACGTCCAGTAATCCGATACTGTCTCTCGGGTATTACCGACACTGTTGGCAAATAGCAGACAAGCTTCCCACTAGTTCAAACTTCAGTTCCCACTAAATTTGAACACCTTCCTACTAAGTATGTAAGTGTGGCANTTGTGTGTTTATTTATCCATTTTTTGAAGTTTTAAATAAATAAAGTGTATAAATAAATACTAATTTTATTAAGTTTATGACTTCTTAATCACGTAGCGACAAAATTTGGCGCCTAAGGCGAAATCTCTTTGATATATATACATTTACATAAAAATTTTATTATAAAGAATTACAGTATACACGTGATACAATCGGCGGTAAATTTTTAATAAATGATATATTATATTCAAACTTTATTGGTAATAAAACATTAATGGTACATAACATTTTTTTATTTATTTAAAAATATAGTTAACATGTATTTTTATTTACTCTGTCTCTCTCTTTTTTAAGGTGCCTAATATTTTCTTCTGCGCCCGGGGCCTCAACCGACCTTAATCCGCCTCTGTCCATACCTATTTAATAATTGCTTTTATAAATACATATTAAATTGATTCTAAATTACATTTTAAAGAATAAAAAAAATATTCTATTTATTTTAATTACTATACACATTTTGTAATTGTACTAATTTTTCATTAAAACTTTTTTCCTAGAAATTTTTTTAAACATTTGTTTTTATCTCGACTTACATTTGCAAGGTTATTATTCAAATTGGTTACATTTGTAACCATTTGAATAATAATAAAAACTCTCTAATCCACCCTTTTCGTAAATTTAAATCCAGATTGCAAAATCTGCCATTAAGATTTGAGATCGCGTTTCTGCAATTTCCGTAAAAAAAAGTACAGTATTTTGCAAATCAATATTTAACTCCCATTTAATAGGTGGATTCTTTCACGTTTCTGATAACTCTATGAGGAATTTCATCATTCTACTCTTGTATTTGAATTCCTCGAACGTACAGAAACCGTCAATATATCATGATTTTATAACAAATACGATAATTCTTGTTAAATACGATTTCTTCGTTTTATTCTAGAAAACAAAATAAAAGTATTAAAAAATTTGTTCATAAATTCAGTCTTCTTTTCCTCGTCATATGAAATGAATTTAACTGTGCATTAAACGACTTTTTTATTTTTTAGGAATGAAAAGTTTATAATAATGTTATAAAATCTAAAGTTATTTGTAAAATCCTCTAAAATGTAAATATTGGAAACCATGGGCCATATTCTGGTCACTGTCTCTGGTCTCTCATCTCTCTCAAGCCAGTCGTTGATTGGCTAATCATTTGGATTAGCCAATCAGCGACCGGCTTGCGAGAGACCAGAGACAATGACCAGAATATGGCCCCATTATTGATAAGCCAAGAGATGGAAATATATAGGCTATATCGAAATACATTCTTACAATTAAAAATACTAAATCTTGAATAAATTTTCTCTTCATTTCATTTTATAGTTTTTAGGATCCTGTTTTCACACTTTATATGCAACGTTTTCAAATATATAAAATATCCTTTATAATTTAAAAGGTCCTAATACTTTATAAATATTCAATGCGGATGTCCTGAAAAATCAAATTTCACAGTGATTTTTACGGACAACTAGTATATAAAATGAACGTTTAACTTGAAAAAGTAAAATAATTAAAAGAAAAAATATATTTTAGATTCAGATATACTTCTTGGTAAATGTGAATATTTTCATAACCATTTTAGCAGTAACATTAAAAGTAACATTAGTTTAGCCGATAATTTGGCTTTGATTGGTGCATGCCCGATAATTTTGCTTTGGTTGGTGCATGGCTTTAGTAACACTAAAATCAATATAAAAATTAATTCAATTTTTAATAACAGTTTATAGATTTAAAACCGATCGTAAATAAATTTCAAGTTTTACTTGGTAAACATTATATTAGATGCGTAGAAATATTTCTAATATGCTAATTGGAATATTTAATAATGTAATAAAATAATATTTTAATTTGTAAATGTAAATTTAACATGCAAATTTGTAGAATTTCTTACCATGTGATATATCTCACAAACTTATTCTTTTATAATACAACAATACAAATAATTTTATTTAATGCTAAAAAACGCAGGTCTAATATTTTCCAAAATATTATCATTACCGATATAAAACTATACTAAATTAAATTGTTTATTTTCTTGCTTTAAATAAAGTTTTAGAAAATTAACTCTTAACACGAATTCACGCTTGACCGATGCACTGGCCATGTGGATTTTTCCGGATTTTCTTCACGTGTCTAACGGCTAAATAGGGGCCAATTCCCCGTAGAAAATCCTTCTGGTAGTTATCTCTCCTTGACAAATCGCCTTCGTGTTTGCGTTACCTTATCCCATCAAAACAAACCAACAGTGGCGTGCCGTCATTGGAAGCGGTGGATGCGGTGCTTCTCTTGTATTTTCTAAAAAATAAATACTGTACATATTAATTTTAATTATATGAAAATAATCGAACAATATTTTATTATAACCGCATTATGTATCTTATTACAAATTTCTATACTACACGTGAAAAAAAAAGAGAAGATTGCTATTGTATATTCGAATATTAGTGGCGGAGTGGAAGCGCTGTATTGTCAGCATCCAAAAAGGCAGATTCGCGCACGCGTTTTACAGAGCACCAACCTCACCCGGTTTAGCCGGTGGAAGCCTAGGACCTTGGGTGGATGCTACACGTATACCGCATCCAATTCTATCCAGGACCGGTTCTGGGCTGTTAGCCGCCTGCCCGCTAGATATTTGGCCACCCTCGCCCGATTACGTGATTCGTGAGTAGATTTATAACTTAACCCAACCGATAAGAATTTACTGGTATGTTTTCATGATAGTTCTGTATAGTTGACAGGAGTTTTAAAAATCCATTAAAATATTTGATATTTTTATTCCGCTCTGCGATTTTATATTACGGATTTCAATGTTAAACCAGTGATATTACGATTTCGTACGTCCATCTTTAAGGGGATGTAGAAAAAAACGTGTACAATTCTTGTATAATTTAAAAAAAATTAACTGTTATTCTGACAGCATCATTTACAACTAAATTTAATGAATGAGACATGCTCGCACTGCACACCTACCACGATCGTCTCTGATTCCATCCACGAGCCACTGGTAGGGAGCAATTTTAACTAAGCGGATTGTTTTAATATTTAAAAAGTAAAAAAACATTTTATGTTATTTTTATGTACGTTTCTTCACAAAACTATATTCATACAATTGAATATTTTGTACCAGGTATGTATAATTGTATATTCATCACACATTTCATTTTAACAAGTAAGTTTTTATAATTTTATTTTTAATTTTAGCCCTTATATTATGGCTAGCGATTTAGAATGTAATTGTGATATTGAAAATTTATTTCAAAAAGTTTTGGCTTAAGACCATATAATGAAAAAGAAAACATTATTAAAAGAGAAAGATTAATGCCTAAATTAAATATAAATACATCGACAAAAAATTTCACGATAAAATTTATGAAGATATAAAATGTCTCTGTGGATGCATAAAAATGCGAAAATTGGTTTGTTGGTATTGCCTATTATTTTCAAATGAAATTAGTGTGTAGAATGAGATTGGCTTTGACGATTGAAATAATTTTAGTATAGCTGGCAAAAGACACGAAAATCGTAAATCTCGCATCGATTCTTTCGTAAAATTAAAGCAATTTGGAAATCAAAATAGAATAAAATTTAACATTAGTACACAATATAAAATAAATATTGAAAATTATAACAAGATAGTTACGGCTAATAGATATNTATTGCATAAAAAATAGATTGAAAAAATTGATAACGAATACGAATGGACCCTAGACAATCACTGACTGACTGCCCCTGGAAGTCGGCTTCTTACAGAAACACAGCTTCCCTATCACCAAATGTCACGGCACGCCACTGCAAACCAACCAAGCCACTTTCAAGAGAAATAAATTAATCCTTCTTGTTATATAAATTCATCAAACTTCGATGATATATATTCATTCTTTTACTTTCCCGGCTGTTATTTATAACAGAGAGAATGTATGGCGATCGGTCATAAAATGACCCCCAAGATTTTTTACACTTTTGGATTCAGGATGCCTTAAATGCAAAAAAAAAATCTGGGGATCTTTCCTGTGTTTATGGATGTTAGTATGTGTGGGGGGTGGCACGATTTTGTTTAATCTCTTTGAACCTTAATAATTCCTGTGCTTTCTGTCGAAAATTTCTGAAATTTTTCAAGGAAATTTTTATTTTTTGAAAATTTTAATAAAATTTTATGTATTAGGGGATTGATACTATTAAATTTTGGTGGTTAAAGGTCAAGAGGTAAAGCGAAAAAGAGGGATCGTATGCCATATCTCGAGTAAAGTCGGACTTAATGACGCTTTTACTCGTTATTAGGCTCAATTTGAAAAAATTGTAGACCTATAAATTCCCAACTGTCGTCCGTCCGTCTATCTTTTATTAATCTCGAGAACAGATGAGAGACGATACAAGATGTGGAAACCTTAGGGACAAGAGACCCCGACCCCTATATACGAACTTCCAATGTAAACTGGAAGTCACGTTATTTTAATGCAAAACTTTTATCGTTAATTAAAGGAAAAAGTATGATGTACAGAGTAAGACTAGTGTCTTGCCCAGTTCTAATTTGAGGTGGAAAACATATATTTTAAATTAAATAAGTTTAAATTATAATTAAAAATTACAGCCCGACATTGTTACGATGCCACAATAAATGATTGCTCGTTAGCCTTTACAGTTTATTTATAAAACCCATTCCTACTCTCAAAATTAAGCTTTTTTCTATTTTATAACAGTAAAAATATAAAAAGTTTTTAATAATAAAATATCATAACAGATGGCACCTTCAAATGTTACCGAAAAGGTTAAGCAACTCTTTGCTAGATTTTTTTCTATGTAAATTAATCTGATTTTTGATACAATTTTATTCTGCTAAATCGTGATAATCAAATTAATTAAACTGAAAAAATTTTTTAAACGTATTTATCATTCTAAATTAACCAATAACTAAAATGGTAAATTTACTTAAGTTGAAGATTTGTTTATTAGATAAAATAATTTTTAAATAGATGAAGATAATCAGGTAAAAACATTGAAGTTTCTTCGTTACTTTTATATTTTTGAATTTACATACTTATAAATTTATCTGTGCTTTCAATGGAATATTTTTAGATATATAAGCTTCAGTGGCTTATTGCAGTTGCAATACATGAAGATGAACAGCATTCAATTATATAATTCTCGTCATTATCTTGACTTGTTTTGGTTTTTAAATCTTCCTGCCCTGTGTACCTAAGACGTATCCTCGTGGGTTCCACTAGGACCACAATGGGTGAGACCATGATATTGTGGGACAGACAACATATTCTAGGCAGTCGCCTTTTCCCGGGTTGAACTTGAATCCGGATTTCCTATAGCTAATAAATATTTTCATACTCTGATTATTAAAAAGTCTTAACTCTTATAATTCATTTTATTATTAAATTGAATTATAATTATTTTTCTATGAGATTCGTGATAACATTCCCATCGATTTATAATAATTGATGAAAGTTACTTGTTGAATTTTGTACGTGCATGTGCTTAAACAGTGACGTTTGAAGAAGAAATAAGAACTTATTTTAATGTAAATTATCATCTTTTATATAAATTATTACTTGTTGAAATTATTAACGTCGTTTAGTAGTTTACAATATATGCAAAATATCGAAATTATTGATATAATTATATAAAAATTATTTTTATGACTTGGTTAGTTGCATAACTAAATAATTTAATTGATGATTTTATAAAAATGCAATAAGTAACCATATATAAAAAAATATTGATAAATGCAATAAGAATGATTTATCAATATTTTTTTATATATGGTTACTTAAAAGCATAATTTATTCTCTACTTCTCAAATCATAGAAAAATAATATTTGTATATTTATGTGTCCAATAATTAAAGATAAAACATTCGATTTTTACATACCATCAATATTTTATGTTTTGTGCAACAATTTGTTTATATATCCAATAAATTTAAATAAGAAAATATTGACAAGGAATAGGACAGATAGGATTATAAAATATACTAAAGATGGGAAATTCTGAATTCATATTTGGTATTTTATTTTGATTGTTGAAGATCAATCAGATCTTTAACAGTTTCTGCAGTAGAAAAGAGAAAATATTTAATGATGAAAGGTTATTATTATTTATTGAAAAGGAGAGACCTGTATTTTAGAATATTCTACAATATAGAAGATCAATTTTATTTCGCGACAGAGTGGATGGAATAATTGATGAGAAGCTTTTTTGTGTACTAATCTGACAACGAAGTTTAAGTCACGTTCTCAAATTCTGCAGTAGGAGGAAAGAATGCGTTCATATATATAATTTAGCTTTTACATGAAGTTTTTTAAATTTATGAATAATCAGTGAGCGGCTAATTTAATTAAAAAGTACACTTAATAAATTGTAAATGAAGTTTTTCTGTGTAATGAGAAATACACATAGGAAAAGTCTGCGTTATACTATTGCATAAAAAATAGATTGAAAAAATTGATAATGAATGAATTTCAGATGTACCGTCACACTTTACAGTTTTGCAATTAATTTATATATGTATATATATATATATATACACACGTTAATTGCAAAACTGTAAAGTGTAACGGTAATCGTCCTACTTTATGTTTATAATAATCATAAATAAAAATTATAATATTTGACTTTGACGTATTAATCTTACGTATGTTGTATTTTGTTATTAAAAATCTTTTTATTTACAATTAATGTTTAGATGTATATTTACATTTCTGTAGTTTATGATAATATGGATACAATCTGAATTCTGTTTCAGAGGACATGGCCTGAATAACAATTATTAATAAGCATTTAATGCTTTATTACAAGTATTAAAAGTAATAATTTATGACATGATTGATAGCACCATTTCTATATTAAATAATTAATAAATTTTAAAATCAAAATCATATTTTATGTTTAAATCTATTCTATTTATAATTTGATAATATAGTCTACTATATTCAAAATTAATAATAACGAAAAATAAATAAAACTTATTTCTAATTAAATTTTCATTTAGCTTTGATTAATCACTAAAATCTGTGCAATTGTCTCATCGTTTATTATAAGTACTGTACATACTTATACAATATGTTAGAATGATTTTACTTCACACTTTTACATTTTGATCATTAATTAAGAATAAATGTTAATATTTAAATATAAACTGATAGAAATCGACCAACCATTGGAAAAGAATTCAAATAGTTGGTGTGATTTCGATTAGCGACTGAAAAATTATTCATTTTACTTTCATATCTGTTTGTATATGAAATTTATCAAAAAATATATTAAATTTTTCAGTTATTTTAATTGTA